TCAAGGCCTCCTGGGCAGCTGTGGGGAGTCACGGAGGGGGCTGTGCTCTGGGTGTCTCAGGGGCAGGGGGAGCCAGTGAAAGGGGGGGCCAGGCGATGGCACCTGGATTCCTCAGTAACTCCATCCTGGTGGGTGTGGCGCCCAGGCCCACCTCTTGCGGACCCCAAGCCCACCTGGCCAAGGTCAGCATCACTCACCTGTTTGAAGTCAACGGCAATGCACGACCCAGAGGAGAAGCTCAAAGACACTGTCCTATGGACGGGTGGGCACCGCCAGCAGGCCTGTGGGACCCCATCACTCATCCTGCAGTAAACATTTTTTTTTTTAAAGATTTTATTTATTTATTTGAGAGAGAGAATGAGATAGAGAGAGCATGAGAGGGGGGAGGGTCAGAGGGAGAAGCCGACTCCCTGCCGAGCAGGGAGCCCGATGCGGGACGCGATCCCGGGACTCCAGGATCATGACCTGAGCCGAAGGCAGTCGCTTAACCAACTGAGCCACCCAGGCGCCCTCTGCAGTAAACATTTATGGAGTGTCTACTGTTTACAAAGCCCCATGCTGATGTTGAGACACAGCCTGGCATACAACAGGCTTCGTGGAGACAGAGCCATGCAGACAGCCCCACAGTCACCCTTTGGGTACACGGGACCACCCGTGCCTCCCAGCCTCGCCCCGGCCATCCCCAGATACCTCACCCCCAGCCTTGCTGCCGACCTCACCCTTCTTGGTGTAACTTCTACCCCTCTCTGGTTTACTGTTCCCTGTCGGGCTGTGTTTCCCCCAACTATACCTTCATTCCTCCTCCCCTCCACCCTCTGTCCCTCCCCCCCGCCCCCAGCGCAGAGGCAGGATCCCCAGGGCCTAGCATAGGACCACAAATACAGTCGGTACTCAATAAGTGTTCTGTAGGTGAATTAATGCCACAGGGACAAATGTTACAAAGGAGAGGCCCGTGGTGTCAGAGAACATAAAACAGCCCTGGCGGGGGTTAGAGGGGTCAACAGGGCAGGATCCCTGGAGGAGGTAACTTCCAGGTGGAGCCCGAGGTGAGTGAGAGGGGCCAGGTGGACGGGACGGCATGTGCCAAGTCCTGGAAGAGGCCCTTTGGCATGGGCAGGACGCGCATGGGTGTGGGGAGTGGGCGGCCGTGGGGCCTGGAGATAGCGCCCTGCCCCAGCTGGACCTCCCCGCCACCCTCCATGCTCGGGTGGGGGGCGCCCAGTGCCCCCGGCAGGACCAGCAGCTGCCCACAGCACGCAGCGCCTGCCCATGGCTGGGGCTTCCCGGGCACCCCCTCGCCGTTGCTCAGGTCCTGCAGGAGCCTTGGTCGCATGGCCGGAGGGACTCCCGAGAGGCCTGGGTGCCCTGGAGCAGAAGGGACTCTAAGGACGGCCCGGGGGACGGAGGCTGGGCGGGCAGCCCACTGAGCGGCTGCTGGCCGTGCTCGGAGGCCCCACCGGACGGGGGGCTTCAGGGGGGTGATGTGTGGAAGAGCCTCGGCTCCCACAAGCAGAGAGGGCTCTCCGAACGTACGCAGCAGCCTTCGTGGGTCTGGGGGCTTCCGCGCCGTGGGGAGGTGTGGGTGATCAGTGCAGTGTTGTTCTGGGAGCCCCGCCCAGAGTCCAGGGGGCCACATATACAGTAAGAGGCCAATAAACACCTGCTCCCCTCAGACCTCATCTCCCTCTGCGTCCACACGTCCTAAAGAAAACTCCAGACTCAAAACATTTTACCCCTAAATGGCAGGAGGCCTCCCCCAGCCCCCTTTCCCTGACGTAGCCACATCCTGGCCACCTCAGCCCAGCCCGGGTGACCGACCGACCTGTCCACACCCTCCCTGGAGGACTCAGCAGCCCCTTGGCCTGCAGCTGCACCCTTCAGACCGTGGACCCCTTTGTGGTCCGGGACGGTACTGCCCCGCAGTGCTCCGACCTGCCCCTATGTACGGGGGCAGTGCAGGGGTGAGGGCGGCCCCTGAGCCACCCCTGCCACAGATGCCCCAAGCACAGGGGCCGACCACAAGCCCTGAGGTGGGAACTGTACACAGAGAATGGGCAGAAAGCTGCTTCCTCACTTCCCGGATGCACACAGACGTGGGTTTTAATCCAGCCCTCAGGGTGGCCCTGGTCAAGTTGCTACCCGTCTCTGTGCCTCAGTTTCCTTGTCTAGAAAATGGAGTCACCCCAGACATTTCCCAGAACTGTCCACGGAGCCCCACCCTGGCCCTCAGGGCCCAGTTCTCTGTCTCCCAACTCCCAGCACAGGGATCAGTCATCAGGGAGGCTTCCCGGAGGAGGTGGCAATGCCTGAGCTGACTGGATAGGAGTATAAGGAGAGGGCTGCCAGGCCCGGGCACAGCAAGTGCAAAGGCTCCGCATCGGACAAGAGCGCGAGGGAGCGAGGCCTGCAGTGTGGTCGGAGTGCCGCAAGGCAAAAGGAGAGCAGGGCCGGCAGGGGGTGGGGCCACGGAAATGAACTGGGGTGGGCCTAGAGGAGCAGTTGGAGGCTGGGAAGAGCTAAGGGTCATCGGCCAGCTGCGGAAGGGGCGCGTGGTCATGGCAAGGAGGCCGTCCCGGCTCATAGGGGACGCACAGACTCGGAGGGCAGATCTTGGTTGACTCTGCTGCCACCTGGTGGCAGCATGCGCGTTGGCGCAAGCGTGAGAACCCCTCTTAGCTCTGACGGGCGGAGCTGACCACCGCATGGGAGGGGTTTACAGTTTACAGCAGCCGTGCCAGGAGCCAACGTCGTGGCCCCGTCCTGGGAAATGTATGCTGATGAGTGTCAGGAGGATGTCAGGAATTCCCCGAATTTCCCAGGAGCCCAAGGCAGGGAAGTGGTTTCCATAAAAAGCCCAGAGGGACCTTTAGTGCCCAGAGAGGGGGGTAAATGAGGCTTGTGGGAGGGGATGAAGCCCACTGATGGGAACACAGAGACCAGAAAGCCAGCCCCCCGCCCCCCCACCCCGGTGTTTCCATGGGCTCATGCCTGTGATGCTGGATCAGGAGAGGTCTGCACACCGCGAAGATCAGACCCCAGAAGGGGAGGCAGGGGGTGCTGGGGTGATTTGCTGGAGGTGGGCTGGGCTTGTGGCAATTCGGGGAACCACAAAACCACAGGGTGGAGGCCTCAGGGAGTGAGCGTCCTGGGAGGCCGGGGTCTGCTCCCGGTGGGGCCACTCCCCACAGCTCACGGGTCCCCGGGTCCCCGGCTCCCGCGGTTGGGAAAGATGCTTAAGTCATGTTCCTACAGTGGCATAACTCAGACCGAGTACAATGCACGCTGCCCGCAAGCCTCGGAGTCGCCACCACTCTGGTCTGGAATTAGAGCCTCCCCGGGCTGCGCCCCTCAAGGCGGTCACCACCCTGCCCTCCTGAAGGTGGTTAATGGTTAACAACCCTCTGTCTTTCTTATCTGAGGACTTTATAAACCTTCATTCATTTAATCCTTGCAACAACCCGGAGACAGAGCCTAGTGTTCAAGCTATCGTTCTATAGATGAGGACGCTGAGGCACGGAGGGGTAGAGTCGGTGGCCTGGACTGGTGCAGTATGCAGGCGGCCACACGAGGATATGAACCCAAAGTCAACACACTTGACCACCACGACACGGATGAACAGAGTATACAGTTGGTGCTCAATTGATGCAGCTTTGGTTAAATCTGCTGTCCCTGCCAGAGCCACTTCCTCCAAAGACATGGCTGCCTCCACTCTCCCCTATCCCCAGACCGGAAAGGGGTGCCTGCTAAGTGCTCTATGGCCACTTTAACAAAGCGGGTTGGGGGGACCCTGCCAGGAGGGGAGGGGGCAGGACTGGTTGGTGTGCATCAGACCAAGGGAGGGATAAAGGGCGGACATTGAGCAGCTGCTGTGTGCCGGGCTCTGGGACAGCAGGGCCGGCGTCCTCAACCCTGGAGACTATGGGATTCTCTGGCCACAGGGCACAAGGAGGACCCCAGCCGTGGCCCCAGCTCTGGGCAGTCCCGGGGGCCCCGCCCGCCCATCCTGCGGATGGATCCGTTGGCTCCCTCCCCTGAACCTGGCCCGAGCCAGGAGAACGTTGCTTCTTGCGACAGCAGGGCCTGTTGTAGCTGGAGCATCCCGGGGGAGGCAGGAAGTGCAACAGGGGTCATGAGGCTGGGGGCCGGGCCCTGGGGACCCCAGCTCCGTTGTTCGCTGAGTGCTGCTGCTCCAGGCAGGAGTGCCCCAACTAAGAGGAGGTTAGGTCCAGCCCGCAGGCCTGGGCTGGAATCCAGCAGTGCCGCTCAGGGCAGGTGGGGGGCTCAGGGAGGTGGGGGTTGGGGCCCACTTCCCAGAACTTCTGCTGGCGGCCAGATGGCGACCAGGCCCCTGGCTGACAGTTACAGCCAGGAAGCCTGGAGGGCCAAGCCCTCATCGGGAGGGGCTGCAGACCACCCTCCTGCTGGGAACCATGGGGCCTGGGGCCGAGCCCAGATCTCCCTGGGCAGGGGGGGTGGTCACTGGACAGGAACTGATCAGGAAGGCCCTCACTCTCCTCATCTCAGACGGGTCCCCGGAAGCCCGGCCGCCCCTGTGGGATGTCAGGACAGTGCACGGTGCCCTGGGTAAACTGAGGCACGTGGGGACCCCCCCCCAGCCAAGGTCCTTCGGGACTAGGGTGCCAGCTTTAGTAAAAACACAGGACGCCTAGTTATATGTGAATGTCAAGTAAACAGTGACTAGCTGTAGAGAAGTGTGTCCTGTGCAATATTTGGGAGCTACTTATTCTAAAAAAAAAAACTGTTTATCTGACCTTCCCATTTAATCGTGCAGCCCTAGCGGAGACCGTGCTGGAGCCAACCCGGGCCCCTTGTGCACCTCCTCCCACCCCCCTCTTCCCATCACTCACTCCCCAGGGCGGGGGAGAGGAAGTGGGGACACCTGGCCCCACCGTGGGGCAACGGCAACGGCCTCGGGGCATGGGATTATAAGAGGGGCAGGTGGGCGCAGGGGGCAGAGACGCCAGAGCCCCGGCCCGGCCATGACTCCAAGCTGCAGCGCCTCCAGCCCTGCCCTCGCGCCCCTGCTGCTGGCCATGCTGCTGGGCGGTGAGTGGGGCCACGTGTCTGTCCGTCTGTCTGTCCCTCTCCGCTTGCCCTGGACCCTCACGGCCCCTCACCCTCGTGGGAAGGTGGCAGCCGGGACGAGGAGGCCTGTTTGCCGAGGAGGACACGGGTTCTGAGTGGTGAGGCCGCCAAGGGAGCCCAGAGCCGGGGTTCGAACCAGAGGTCATGCTCTGGGGACCCCGAAGCCGTTAGGTCTCAGCCTAGCTGTGCTGGGTCAGGGTGCGGGGTGGTGGCAGGCCCCCTCTGCCCTCTGGGCCTCAGTTCCCTCCCCTGGGCCACAAGCCCGTGAGGAGCCCTAATCCTGCTGTTAGGTCCAGGGGGCACTGGAGCCCCCCCACAGGCGGGGCTCCTCCACGGCGCTCACCGCCCCACCCCTACCCCATGTCCTCAGGCCCGGCCCTGGCCTCGGAGATCGTGGGTGGCCGCGCCGCCCAGCCCCACGCGTGGCCCTTCATGGTGTCCCTACAGCGGCGTGGAGGTCACTTCTGCGGCGCCACTCTCATCGCCCCCAACTTCATCATGTCGGCCGCCCACTGCGTGGATGGCTTGTGAGTCACCCCGGCTCATGCCCGCCTTCCTGGGAGCCCTGTCTCCGCGTCTGTGTAATGGGGAGAGTGAGACCAGGAGCCCGAGGTCCTCCCAGGGGCCCGCCCCGCGCCTGCCCCGCGCCCACATTAGCGCACCCTCCCCGCCAGGCCTCCCTGGGCTCTGGTGGGGCCCAGCTGAGCTCTGGGGGCTCCCTACCACCAGGACCACCTCCAATCACCTCCCGTCTCTCCCTTGCTGCAGGAACTTCCGGTCGGTGGTGGCCGTGCTGGGGGCACATGACCTGGGGCAGCGTGAGCCCACCAGGCAAACATTTGCCATCCAGCGGGTCTTTGAAAACGGCTTCAACCCCCAGAGGCTGCTGAACGACATCGTGATCCTCCAGGTGTGGAGCTGGGCAGGGCAGGGTGGGGATGCCCAAGAGGGGACCCGGCAGGTGCAGAGGCCCAGGGGCAGGACGCTTGGGGAGGGGGCCAGAGACTGGGGGACACGGTGGGGGCCCCGGCTCTAAGTGGGTGCATGACCCTGTTGTACCTCAGTCTCCACCTCTGTAACAGGGGGAAATAAACCCCGCCTGGCAGGGCTGTTGAGAAATTAAATGAGATGATACGGGAAGCTCTGAGCCGTTGTCGATCAACAAACTGTTGTTATTTGTGTGACCGAGCACAGGGACAGTTCCTGTCTTTGTGAAATGGGGCAAAATTCCCCACATTCAGCTGGCATGAGACGTAAGGGTGAAACCCTCCCTCCTCCACTGCTTGCAAAGTTATGATTATTCTCTGGGAATGTTCTAGAACAAGGGTTTTATTGTCATTGCTGTTGCCCACAGTGTGTTTTATTGAGTACCCACTGTTTACTGCATTCAAGGCATGTCCAGAGATGCTCTGAGCCACTGTGGTTGCTCCCACTGTAGAGATGGGGAAACTGAGGCTCAGGGCAAGGAGCATCTTGCAGGCTGGGCGTCCTGCTCCGCAAGATCCCAGGACCATGGTGATGCCTCAGCTGGGGAAACTGAGGCCCGGGGAGGGGAGGGTCATGGCCCACCACCCCCTGTGACGCTCTGACGCTCTGTCCTGCCCACCGCAGCTCAATGGGTCAGCCACCATCAACAGGAACGTGCAGGTGGCCAGGCTGCCTGCCCAGAATCAAGGTGTGGGCAGTGGGGTGCCGTGCCTGGCCATGGGCTGGGGCCAGCTGGGCACGAACCAGCCACTACCCAGGATCCTGCAGGAGCTCAACGTGACCGTGGTGACCACCCTCTGCCGCCGAGCCAACGTGTGCACGCTGGTGCCCCACCGGCAGGCCGGCATCTGCTTTGTGCGTACTGCCAGCCCCCCAAGGCCCCACCCCGCTCCCGCCTGGGCTGCAGCCAGAGCCCTGGAAGCCCAGCCTCCCAACCCTGTCTGTCTCCACAGGGGGACTCTGGCGGGCCCTTGGTCTGCAACGGGCTGGTCCAGGGCATTGACTCCTTCATCCGTGGAGGCTGCGGCTCTGGGTTCTACCCGGACGCCTTTGCTCCGGTCGCACAGTTCGCAGACTGGATCAACTCCATCATCCACCGTGGCCACGACCGCCCCTCCCTCCACCCGCGGGACCCGGCCAGCAGGACCGGCTAGCAAGGGGCTGCCCCTGGCCCGGCCCTGCCCGCACTGCATCCTTCGCATCTCACACAATAAAAACCCTCTCTGTTTTGTACGCATGTGTCCGGGTGCCGGTGGTTGTGCAGCTGGGTATGGAACACAGTCAGCAAAGTGTCTGGGGTGTCTCACGAGTGTGTTGTCACCAAAGAGTGGCAAATCCAGGGCATTGGGGTAAGAAGGCCCTTCCCCACCCTCCACGAAAGGACGCCGGTTGCCATTTCAGGTTCCCAGCGAATGACATTAGTGTGCCGGTGGCGAGGGTAGACTGGAGCCGCTGCTCACTGAGGGCCCCACGGCACAGGGCCTGCACTGGGTCTTTGCTCCCGTTCACTCCGCTGGCCCTCTCTCCGGCCCTTGAGGCGGGTCCCATCGGCGCCCCAATTTACAGATGAAGAAGTGGGAGTGCAGACAGGTGTGAAGCCGTGCTCAGGACCCTAGGTTTGAGACCCAGATCTGTGACTTTGGGCAACTTGCTCTCCTGCCCTCCCTGAGCCTCTGTGCCCCTGCAGGAAGGAGGGAGGTGAGGGGTCCGGGCCCCAGAACGGCCTCGGCCTCGTGACCCCCCCCCACTCCTGCTGGGGGTCATCAGCCTGGGCTCTCCTGCAGGGTTCTGGCCTTTGGTGCTCCCTCTGCCTGCTGGGCTGCTCCCCGGCGGCTCCCCTCACCACACCCCCTCCCAGGTCCTGGCTGCTAAGAAGGTGTCTGCCCGCAATTGCCCTTTCAACGGAACGCTATACTGTACCCTAGCGGTCTCTCCACACCAACACGGCATCTGGGGGTATTCAGGGTTATTTACTGAACCATCCTGTCTTGCTGAATCATTCCCAAATTTTGTTGCAATTCCCATCTCTTACATAATCTGGACTTCATACCCTAATGGGTTTTTGTTTGAAGTTCCTGATTTCAATAGGAAACATGTTAGGATCTAACAAATCACACCGGTTATATTTTTTTCTATTCTTCTCTGCGTATGAAATAGTCCACAGTGAAGAGGAAAGAAGTAGAAGGGAAAATATCGTGCAGTGTGTCCCCTGGAGTCCACCCCACCCTTGTGGTCCCAGCACTGCCCCCGCCGTGGGTTCATGAGATGTTGATCCATCATCCCCACCTTATAAAGGGCCATGTAACCCACGTTGTGTTCATCAGAACCTGACATCCCTTGCTCACAGTGATTGGTTTGGGAGGGGACATGCGATCAAAGCTAAGCTAATCAGACACAGCCTTGAGAAGCTGGCTGGAAAGAAGGGGAATTCTGGGGAAGGGCCCACTGAGCCACTGGGCTGAGTCTGGGGCCTCTGGGCCCACAACAGGGGAGCCTGGTGAGGAGAAAAGTCACCAAGGAGGAGAGGAGAAACCAGAGACAGAGAAACTTGATATTGTTCAGGCCCCTGGATCAAGCCACACCTGAAGGGAGACCCTGAAATTTCCATTTAAATTTCCTTGTTGAAAACTCCACCAAGTTCAACTTGATTTTTCTTTTTCTTTTTAAAAAAGGTTTTATTTATTTATTTGAGAGAGAGAGAGAGTCCGAGCAGAGGGAAGGGCAGAGGGAGAGGGAGAAGCAGACTCCCCACGGAGCAGGGAGCCCGACGCTGGGCTCGATCCCAGGACCCCGGGATCATGACCTGAGCCAAAGGGAGACACTTCACCGACTGAGCCCCCCAGGCGCCCCTCAAGTTGGTTTTTCTGTCTTCCCAGCTGCCCCTACACACCACCTTTCTAATACTCTACTTGCTGGGGTATCAGGCCCCAGAGCCACGGAGCACAAGGACCTCAGGTGACCTTCTTCTCACCCCCACCCAACCTCTTCTCCTAGTTGGGGGAGGAAGAGAAGAAGGGAGGGGCAGAAAAACCACGAAGTTGGTTGTTTACAAGCTGTAGCCTCCAGGTCCTGTTGCAAAACTTTGGGGCTAGAAGGGCACTCTGGGGAGACTGGGCTGGCGGTGGGGGGGTTGCTGAAGGGTAGGTCGTCCTGTTCTGCTTTCTGCCCATCCTGAGGGTACTGCCCACACGGGGGCCAGTCCTGATCAGGCACCTCCAACTGCCTGTGTGGTCTTGGTGCGGCGCCGTGAGGGAGCTTAACCCCAGTGCTGAGGAGGGTGGAAGCGGGCAGGCAGGTTTCGCTTTCCCCAGCTGGACCGCTGCCCACCCAACAGACAGGGCCGGCGAGGGAACCGCCCCCAGCCACGCTCGTACAAGTGCCCCCCAGGCTCCAGCCACACAGCAGCAACATGGCCGACCGTCTGGTGCATCTCGTGACTCTGGTCCTCCTAGGAGCAGCCGTATGTGGTGAGTGGACCTGGGACGAGGGGACAGCGGGAGCCACCAGTCTGGGGGGCAGTCGCCAGCCCCCGCCCCCCCCCCCGGCTCCACTAGGGGGGGCAGGAAGGGGGACACGTGCATGGAAGGCTCTGAAAGTCAAGGAATTTTCAGAACTTCCAATGTGAGACCTGAGCTTTCCCCACAGTGAGGATCCGCAGCTGCGTGGGGCAGGACCAGCGAAGCCAGCATGGCGGGACCGCAGCCCCACTTGGCTCCCGTTTGCCTTGAAGCTGTTAGGCGCAGTGTACAGGCCCGGGATTTGCCCCAGACCCCACCATTCTGTCCGCCGGCTGTGCTCTCCGGCCCCTGCGCAGTTCGCCCCTCTGGCGGGTAGAATGCCAGGCCTGAGCGGGCTGCAGCGGCCAGGGTGCAGGAGGGAGGTGTGCGGGCTCGCCTCTGGTCAGCGCTGAAGCGCTCACGCCCACCTGCCCATCCCCAGCGGCGCAGCCTCGCGGGCGGATCCTGGGCGGCAGCGAGGCCGTGTCCCACGCGCGGCCCTACATGGCGTCGGTGCAGGTGAACGGCAAGCACGTGTGCGGCGGCTTCCTGGTGTCCGAGCAGTGGGTGCTGAGCGCAGCGCACTGCCTGGAGGACGCGTGAGTGGCCTGGAGAGAGGCGGAGCAAAGAGCGCGGGAGGTTTGGCTGGGGTGGGGACGTGGCTCTGATGTGGACCCCACTCCCAGGGCGGACGGGAAGGTGCAGGTGCTCCTGGGCGCACACTCCCTGTCGCAACCGGAGCCCTCCAAGCGCCTGTACGACGTGCTCCGCGCAGTGCCCCACCCAGACAGCCGGCCCGACACAATCGACCACGACCTCCTCCTGCTGAAGGTCAGCCAAGTCCGGCCGCAACCCCTCCGGCCGCACGCACCCCCGCCCACCCCCGCCCTGACGCTCGCTTCCGCCCCATTCCGTAGCTGTCAGGTAAGGCCGAGCTGGGTCCCGCCGTGCAGCCCCTGGCCTGGCAGCGCGAGGACCGCGACGTGGCGGCCGGCACGCTCTGCGACGTGGCCGGCTGGGGTGTGGTCACCCACGCGGGCCGCCGGCCGGACCGCCTCCAGTACCTGCCCCTGCGGGTGATCGACCGCGCCACCTGCAACCTGCGCACGTACCACGACGGCACCATCACTGAGCGCATGATGTGTGGGGAGAGCAACCGTCGAGACACCTGCAAGGTGCGCGGGGAGAGTGGGGCCGTCGAGGGGGCTGGGGCGTGCGGCGAGGTGGGCCTGGGGGCGGGGCTGGGGTGGTCCACCACCCGGGGTTGGGCTTGGACCGAGGTCCGGACTGGTGGGGAGGAGAGGGAGGGCTACCGGCGGAGAGAGCCCGGCGCGGGGTCGGGGGCGCGGGGCGCGGACGCAGCGCTCACGGCCCGCCCCCACAGGGCGACTCCGGGGGCCCCCTGGTGTGCAGCGGCGTGGCCGAAGCCGTGGTCACTTCGGGCTCGCGCGTGTGCGGCAACCGCAAGAAGCCCGGCATCTACACGCGCGTGGCGAGCTACGCGGCCTGGATCGATGGTGTGCTGGCCGAGGGCGCGGCCGCCTGAGGAGGCCCCGGGGGGCGGCGGTCACCGGGGTCGAGCAATAAAAGTCCTGTCGTGCAAGCGCCCCGCCTGCACTGAGCACGCGCCGCCGGCCGCGGGGGACGGGGACCCGACTCTTCCACCCGGGATGGGGTAGGGGCTCACGTCCTAGGTGCCCCTTCCGCTCCGGCGGACGTCCGGCCCTCCTCTGTCGGGTCTTCCCAAGCGGGGCAGAAGGGCCCACTGTGTGCGAGGCCCTGCTCTGGGCTGAGCTTTAGGTACACAGACCCCCTGAAGTCAGTCGTGTTCTTGTGACCCGTGTCCCACATCGGGAAACAGGCTCAGAGGCTTCGTGACTCTCCTGAGATCCAAGGAAGCTCCCGGCAAAGCCTGGATCCAACCCCAGAACTACAGCACCTGCGCTCGTGGTCATCGTCAGGTGCTCCGGGGTTCACGGAGCAAGTGAGGTGGATGGGTGTCCCAGAGCAGCCACACTGCCTGGGCACCCTGGGTCTCAGTTTACCCTTGTGGACAACGACAAGGTCAGAGGGCAGAACCCAGGCCCTGAGGCCTTTTGCTTTCTCCCACCTGGATGAGGAGCCGTTGAGACCCAGCACCTGCTAGGCCCCGGGTGCCAGGCTTGGCCCACAAAAGGGATTCATGACTTCCCTTTTGTTGAAAAGGAGACTGAGGGTCTGAAAGGTGAAGTCATGGGCCCCACTGGGGGTTGGGGAATTGGGACTGGAACCTGTGGCCAAGTTTTACTTTCCTACTACAGGGTGTTCACCTTGGAGTCATACGCTCATTCGTACACAAGCACTTACTGAGCACCTACTGTGTGCTCAGTCCTGGGCTGGGCACTGTGGACACAGACACCTGCTCATAGTAACAGTCCAAAATACCTCACGGCGTGGCAGCATGGGCTCCAGAATGAGGGGACCCGGACCCCACCTCTCGACGGGAGTCACGTTCATGTCATAAAACCACAACTTAACCTTAAACCTGTGATGTGAGTGCAGAACAGGCCCGTTGTTCTAAAACAAGTAACCAGCTTAAAAAGCAGGACTTGAGAGAGACAATGGCTAAAGAGGATGGGGCCCAGTGAGGGGTGTGGAGGGCCAAGCAGAAGCATGCAGGAGCCCTGAACCTCAACCACGCAGACGGCACAGCAGTGCAGGGTAGGCACCATCCGGGGGGAAGGACCCCGTGGAGCTCGCCTTCAGGGAGAAGAGCTCTCTTCCCTGCTCCCCAAAACTGTCCCCGACTCTGCCCTACATGTGAGGTAGACCAACGATTTGCACATCTTCCTCCACTGGCTCACGGACGGCTCTGTCCATCAGCAGTGCCCACTCACCCAGGTACGCCTCAACCAGGGGAGGCTGCCCCCGGGGTGCCTGTGTCACTAAAGGGAGACAGGCAGTGGTGACCAGCAGGGTGGGAGGCAAGGCAGGCGGCAGGAGCCTGCCAACTCAGTCAAGGGCCAGCTTCCCACCTCCACGCCTGCCCCCAGCACGGGCCCACAAATGCCAAGTCCCCGCAGAAAGCGTCAGCTCCAACAGCAGGCCCTCCTGGGCAACAGGGGCCCAGCCAGGTAATGGGGCTCACAGAGCTCCCACCCACCCTGGAAGCGCCCCCCCCCCCGCCCCCAGCGCATGCACAGCATTTACCTCCCGGGGGCATCCACCTGGCCTGCCCTCCCTGAGCCTTCCAGCAGGAAAACAAGAGAACCAATTAGCGCTCCACAGGCAGGGCGCTCTGTCTGGAGGCCTGGGGAGCAGGACATAATTGGGAAAAGTGCTTGTTGGCAGAAGGCGGAACCCCTGGGGGAACCAGGCCTGAGCTTCCAGAAACCCAGGGGCCTCGGTGTGCGGGGGCAAGGGGGGGAGGTGGTCGAGTGGGGAGGCAGGGAAAAAGGAGACAGACACATGCATCAACAAAAGCCCACCGTGTCCAGCCCGTGACTCCCTGCAGGGACCGGTGATTAGCACACAGTAAGTAGGTGCTCCATAAATGTTGACAGCAAGACAGTGACACGTGGGCACAGAAGCCCAGAACTGGGGGACGGGGAGGGGCAGCACCCGGCACCGACAAGACACCTGTGAGTCAGTAGGATGTTTATTGGGCCTGCTGAGGTCAGAACCACCCGGATGCATTGGCAGGAACAGGTGAGGAGACGGAAGCGGGTGTCCCGGCGAGTGTCACTAGCAGTACCCACGCAGATGCCCGACAGCTCACAGGTTTGCGTGGCACATTCTAAAGAACGGAGGCCCGGGGCATCCCGGACCCTCGGAGCCAGGATCTGGGGCATCCAGACGGGCCGCTGAGGTCTGGGCGCCCAGGGAGGGCAGCACATGTGCTGTGGTCCTGCCTGAGACCGTGAGATCCACAGGCCTGTCTCAGTCACCACCTGGCACAGGTGGACAGGTAGCTGGGTCCCTCCACCCTGGATCCACCATAAGGCTTCGAGGGAGAGAAAGCAGCCCCCACTGGGCCGCGGGGCACCAACGTGAGGCTTCAGGCCACGTCCTCCCCTGCCCTGTCCAGTGACAGGGCCCGGAAAGCCAACTTCCAGAACGCCTATTTCACAAAGCACCTGATGAACAACTGGAGTGTGTGGAATGCTGTGTCACCAGCAAGGGCCCTGGTCAGGGGTAGCTGAGGGGCACCCGCCGCCACAGCCCCCCACACAGGCAGTTCTTAATCCAGCGCTGTTCCCACTGTTTGACAGCTGTCGTCTTATTGGGTGACCTGAGCATGGTGACGCAGCCGCACCTGGGGGCAGAGCCAGGCGGGTGAGCCCTGGCTAGGGCTGTCCTCCCATCTGCCACTGGGCCTTGGCACATGCTGCTTCCCCCCCCCAAGAGTGCTGTTCCTGGCACCCCCCAATGCTGAGCTGGCTCCTCCACATCCTTCCACCCCAGCTCAGGCATCGCCCCCTCACCTCTGTGAGCTGATGAGGTGGGGTTATGGGGTTTTTGAGTCCCAGCTCGGCTGCTCCCTAGCAGCAGTGACCCCAGGAGCCACAACCTGCATCCAGGGTTCTCTGGCAACAACTGGGGTCATATTTGCACAGGGCCCATGCCTCATTTCTGTATTGTTGGGCTCCTGAGCGTTCCCCCAGGGCAGCCACAGGCTGCGTGGTCACCTGTACCCAGACACCTGCTCACCGCCGGTGCCCGAGGGTGGGACACCTCCCGCATGGGAGGCACTCCCATGACCCGTGTCGATGGAGGGGGGTCCGAGGTGGGCAGCACTCACCTGGTGCAGGTCTTGCACTCCTCCGTGGGATAGGCTCCCAGGTGCAGCCTCCGCAGGTGGTCGATCTTGGGCTGGCCCGGTGCCCTGGCGGACAAGAGAGAACGTGAGCGGCTCAGGGGTCCATGCACACACGTGCACACACAGGCACAGACCTCCCTCTGACATGCACGCCCTCCACCTGCAGACACAGCAGCGCTGGAAGGCACGGGAGAACCCATGGGAGGGGACCTGGGGGCTGGGTGGGGCTGCACCAGTATTAAATACATCTGAACTTTCCAGAACAATGAATTTAAAACCTCCTTGTGATCAGCCCCCTCTTAAAAGTTTTTCCTGAAAGCCAAGCACAAATGAAAGCTTGGTACTTATCAGGCGGTCCCTCCCGTTATGAGACAAGAAAGATGCCAGAAGCTTGCGGAGCCCAATGCCCGAAGTATTTCACTCAAAGGGGGCCACATGTGGCTGCCTTCCTTTGGCTCATCTGCATTTTCTGAAATTTACACCCAAAGTAACAGACGCATGGGGAATTCACCCGAGTCTGTCAAGTGAGTGTCTGAAATGGAGAAGCACCTTGCGTGACCTCGAATCGGTGCATCTTTCCTGCCTAAAGAGCAGGGACAAAACCCTGCCCCGCGGTGCTGCTGGGCAGTAAGGGCTGACCCCACCGACGCGTTCCAACAGCAGCTGCCCATGGCGGGCTTCCGGAGGTCGCCTCTCACCCCGAGAACACCCTGCCTAATGCTGTGGTTTGTCCACCCGGGGCCCTGGGCCACGCTGCAGCGTCTGCACTGCACTCTTCCACAGTGGGCCATGGGCTGCACAGGACATGCTTGAGCTCCACAGGGGCTGGGGCCTGAGTCAGACGCCGGCCACGCGACACTCCACACGGGGGGCAACAGACTGGAGGGACAGTGATGCACACGGATGCCCGAGTGCAGGCATGGAGAGGCAGCAGGGCCATCACTGGCTGAGCGAGGATGTCTCCCGGGGCCAGCGTCACGATCAAGGCCAGAGAACAGTGGCTGGCCCGGTGCAGGCGGAAGCCACGGGGCAGAGGCGGGCACGCACCTGACGAGGCCATCCAGCTGCAGGGTGCTGGCGCTGGTGGGCAGCGTGGGAGCCCTGCCGAAGTGCAGGCGCAGAGGCTGCTTGGGCTGCAGGCGGCTGACCAGGCCGTCGCTGACGGGCAGCCAGTCCAGGCTGGGGATGAGCAGCTGGCTGGGCAACAGGCAACACTCATCCACAAGGGCCTCATCTGGCTCGCTCGTGGGGCCCTCGTCACGGCCTACAGGGAGGAGACCACGGGGATGCACTGCCGGCCGGGGAGCGCCAGGCTCCCCGACTAACGAGCATGCAGTGAGTGCCAGGCTCCCCGACTAACGAGCATGCAGTGAGTGCCAGGCTCCCCGACTAACGAGCATACAGTGAGTGCTGGGCTCCCTTCCTGGCATCAGGGGTCCAGCGACACGAGACAGCAGACGGTGCTGTCACTCCATGAGCATCTGTGCTGGGTGCTGGGGACCAAGACAGTCTGACCTGGGGGGCTGGTACTTGGGGGCTGGGGGCGTCTCAGCCAGGACTTGTGTTGTGGTGGGGGGACGAGAGCTGGGGGCAGAGTCTTACAGCAGATCCAGAGCTTGGTGAGCAGGCGGAAGAGCAGGGACATGCTATCCTGGGTGTCTGAGGTGGCCGTGTACACAGGCAGGCAGCTGGGCTTCAGCAGGCCCCAGATGCGGATGACGACCATCAGCTCCCGCAGCGTGCCCAGCGAGGTGCCATCCCGCAGGAAGCTGTGACCCGGCCGCAGTGGGGAGCCCTACAGGGAGAGGG